GCAGGGACAAAAGCATAGTATGGATTGAGGCAGAAACTAATTCTGTTGCCACAATTAAACATACACAGATATGCAGATCTGGTTGTAGGCAAACATTATTTTTTCCCTTCCCTTCCTCCAAGCTTTCCCCTTATTTTGTAATCACTGCTGAAGGCTATACAGTCCAATGAGATCTGCTTGAAAAATGGTGGCGAGATCCCTGAATGTTAAGTGATCCAAGAAATAATTAAAAATTTTAAAAAGAGGGCTTGCAAGATGTTGCCGTGCTGCAGCACACCCTGAAATTATCCTTCAGACAACTTTCTGGAGCCCAACTTTAGCACAGTACTGGTTTGTCTCAGTACCTCCTTGAGACTCTGCCATAGCATTCAATGTACATCTGATGCCACAGATTTCCCTTTATTGTTGGCTCAACTTCTATACTCTTGGGACATACTCACCCCTTCACCAAACTACTAGTTGCCTTTACTATTTATTTATTTTCAAAATAGTAACAGGACATTCCTTCCACTTCAAATTAACAGCAAAATCCTAAAAATGGAATTCACAAACTTAAAAATTTACAGATTGTTGTCATAATCTGCAATCTAAAATTTCAACAAGCTCCACAGCTATGTTTTGCCTAACTAACAGTCAACCTGGGCAGCTTTTCCAACCTAGACATCAAATAAAAACTATGTCAGAACAGCAAATAATTAAAAAGGACTCCTGCAAAGTCCTAAGTGTAAGTCTGATCAGCACTTTTGCTACTGTTTTAGCTGGGGCTTTTTTGTTGTTATTATTCTAAGGGGAAGGAAAAAAAGGGGCAATTTGGATGAATTTATCCCCTGAAGTGTTTCAGAGCATACTGCCTGCATCCAAAGAGGACAGCGCTTGCCTACCCTTTGGGCATATGTCAACTCAGTTCTGCACATTAGTCAAAATAATGGGGGTGGGGGGGAGGCTGCAGCATGACACTGAGTGGGAGCTATTGCCTACACACTTCAACAACCGGAGAGGCTATGGCCTTGCATTTGATATTTTTCTTCAATAGAGAAAAAAAGAATGTCCTCCTAAGTGGGAAATGAGAACTAAGGGACAAACATCAGGAAATGAAATCAGTACACAGAGGAAGACTTAATATTCTTGGAGAGGGAATAACTGTACAGAAGAACTTAAACCAGCCTATACACTTTTAAAAGATTGTATTAGTCCAACATTTATTTTAAGTCTTCCCAACCATTAATCATTAGTATGACAGACACAGCAATTAGTGTCTATTTTGTTTAATTCCATGCCACTGATGTGTATTAATATTACAACTGTGAGGAGAAAAAAAAAATTGCCTTTGAAAAGGAAGGCCTCCAACTAACACCCCAATTAGGAAGCACCAGCAATCAAGGAGATGCTGGATTTTGCGCTTAACTGCTCCTTGTTTCTTCCCTGCAATTTTCTGGAAGAGAATGTGAAGGCAAGTTAAGTGCTGAGGGAAAAAAGGGAGGTGGTATTGCCTGCCCTGACATGTCTGTCCCCTGCCTGAACAGAAACACCTCTCTATCACTGCTCACCTTCCACTTTAGGGAGGACCTCGTGTTCACCCTCAGAAAGATCAAATTCTAAATAAATAAATAGAGATTTCTAGCTTAATCAGGTGAACAACCCTCAGAATGACTTCCTTCCTGCAGCAAGAAGTTTAACTGGGGACACTATCATGCCAGTGTGTAGTGGGGTATAAAAGCAGTCACAAGGCCTAGACACCCTCATCAAGCTGCTGGAGTGGATCCAGAGGAGGGCTATGAAGATGATCAGAGGGCTGAGGCACCTCCCATATGAAGACAGGCTGACAGAGTTGGGCCTATTCAACCTGGAGAAGAGAAGGTTCTGGGGAGACCTTATTGTGGCCTTTCAGTTCCTGAAGGCGGCCTACAGGAAAGCTGGGGAGGAACATTTTACAAGGGCAGGTAGCGGTAGGGCGAGCCATAATGTCTTTAAACAGGATGAGGGTAGATTTAGAATAGATATTAGGAAGAAATTATTTACTGTGGGGGTGGTAAGATACAGGTTGCCCAGGGAAGTGGTGGCTGCCCCCTCCCTTGAGGTGTTCAAGGCCAGGTCGGACAGAACTTTGAGCAACCTGGTCTAGTGGGAGGTGTCCCTGCCCATGGCAGTGGGGCTGGACTAGATGATCTTTAAGGTCCCTTCCAACTTTAACCATTCTATGATTCTATGATAAATGAACTGGAGTCTTAATTCCTTCAGTCTCTCATCTCTCTACTTCTCAGCTCTGATTTGGGCCTGCATTTTTTTGCAGAGGGCAGCACTCCAAGCAGCTTGTCAACATGTTGTATTGTTCTAGTGCTAGCTGTATTCTTGGCTTTTCCCATGTTATCAATGTGCTTACTTGGAGGACATCTACCTCCACAAACAAGACCCTCTGCTCTTCTGGATGCATGACCTCTCTGGTGCCTCCTCATTCCCAGAGCACTCCCAGCTGCAACATGTGCTTAGAAGAGCCTACAAAGTTGTCCAGGCATGTTTTAATCTGGGGATACTGTCCACAACCCCACCTAGAGTCGATTTGAAAAGTCTGTCTCAAGGTCCTAGCTGGAGTTCTGCTTTACCGAACTGATCAGACAAGCCTGGAACTACCACGATGCTGTTAGAAGAAGAGAAAACTGCCTTGTAATAAATCTGCATGCTTCATCTGACTGGGCTGAATCTGCACAGGGAACAGTGGATTTTTTAAACAAGCTTTAGCTCAGTGCTGCAAGGTAGAAAATGCAGCAGCTTCACTGCATAGGTCCTGGGGTGTGTCTGTGTGCGTATGTCTGTGTTAGTGTGTGTGCATCTTTCTGTATTTGAGCCTTCCAGAAGAAGAGATCACCAGATCTCCAGAAGCAGATGTCCAGATGTTGTCTACCAGCACTGCAGCATGCTCTGCAAGTACCCTCTTCTCTTTTGAACACCATTACTGTACAGCAAAAGAGTGAAAAGCCACTTGCACCCTACACCTAATCTAGACAAAACAGTGATAGGGTCCACTCTCTGGTCCTGAGACTGTGCATGAAGCCAGCTGCAGGGTCAGGTCAAGCCCACATAGCTAAATGTTCAACACAGGGTGGCTCCTGCCATGAGGTCAGGATTCACCCCTGCTTCTTCAGCAATGTTAGAAGGAATGTGTTTGGAGGGTGGTAGCTGGTCCAGGCTGTGAGTGTGCTGGATACTGCTCAAGCAGTTTAACAGAATACACTGTCACGTTCCTGTGCTCAGGCCTGGATGATGTTTAATTTACTAACACAAACACAGCAGCAAGCCACTTCCAGGGAAAAAAAATAATATTAATATATACTACTTAATTCATAATTCCTCAGCCAGAAATTCAGGGGACTGACACACAGTTACTCAGTGTCCCTTTGTGTGCCTTGTCCTGACTGCAGGGCTTCCAGGGCATCTCCTCAAACCAGAACCTAAACCAGCTGCTTCAGGCTGGTGTGAGCATCGCTGCCAGCACAACGTCCCTGGACTGTTTTGGAGACAGATGTCCTTAACCTTACATCTACCTGCAGAGACACACCAGGCTCTCAGCTCTTCTTGAGCAAGGTCTTAGAAATGGGGAGCCACCAAAACCAAAAGAGACCTCAGCCTTTGGGAACCATGCGCTGAATGGCTCAGGGACAGGGATGAGAAGCCGGCAAAGCTGGTGTCCAGCTGACAGAGTCTGCCAGATTGAGACAGAGATATTAACTTGGAGATATTCAAGGCCCTCTCCAGTCTCGGAGAAGTGTTTCAGCATGAAGGTTCATTCATAGCAACCCCAGATTGTGCAGGGCAGGATTCCCTGCCTGATCCCTGTGCTGACAAGAGTCACGTCAGATATCTGGTTTCTTGGCTCAGTGGGGGACGGACAGGCAATGTGCGTGAGCACTTCCTACAGTTTATGTGTATACCCTTGGCAGGGCTCCCACCAGGGCTGGGCAAGCTGGCTGGCTTCTGCTTTCACCGTGACCCTAACTACAGGCAGGGGAAGGAGTCAACTGCTGGGATTAGAGGTGAGAGCCATGCTTCATTTCCATCTGCAGACCCCCGGCAGCCCTCGCCTGGCCCTCATCCTCCTGGCACAGAAAAGCTCATGCAGAAAACCTGGTGCTGAAGGCCCACATCCCCACAGTAGATGAAACACAGTGACAGATCATCACAATTTGATGAAAAAGAATAGCATTAAAAACACTTTTCTAAATGCTAACATTAGGAGGTGTGGTACACTATATAAACTCTTGAAAGAAGCTCCAACATCCCGCTTAACACTACACACCTGTCCAGAGCTTTGATTCTAATCCCAGGAATAAAAAAACCACAGGTAGCTGAGGTAACAGAAATAGCTGCACATTCCCCCACCCCTTTATAACATTAAATACAGGGGTAACCTACACTCTGGGAATGAGAATGTCTCAAAGAAAAAAATTATACTTTACTATTAAACCAGATACATTCAGATTTTTCATCATGAAGCTTCTGATAATCTCTGACAAACATCTGAATAAGATCTTTGTTTGCTTTTTGCGTTGTTTTTAATCTCCTAAATTATTTTCTGCAGCTCTCCAGAGCACAGAATCGGGGGTCAAATGCTGCTCTCTGCTCTGAAGCAGCGAGTCCCATGTCAGCTAAGGCAAGCTGCAGCTGTGCCAGCAGTAGGGCAGGATAGGTCTCCAGGGTTATTAGTATAAGCTTAGTCACACTTTGCAGTGATGTCCTGTTAACAACTGCAACTTGAACCAAAAAAAATCTAAAAACAACACACACACACACACACACACACACACACACAAACCCCAAAACCATAAAAACATACACTCCATGCTCTTCCCCTGGCATCTAGTAAATGAGGCAACAACAGCTCTACTCGGAAAAGTTCCCTGAGCTGCCTGTCAGCAACATCATATGTAATTTTTGCTTTCTATGACTACTACAACTATGACATTTTCCATGTTTTATTTTGCATACGTGATCTAGAGTTCACTTACTGTTAGATGCTGGAACAGCCATGCCCTCATGATATTTGTGGCTACTTTGGGAAAGATGCCACGCTTTTTATGCCGCTTTTTGTCCTTATCTGGATCATCATCATCACCTGTGCTGGGGGAAGCTACACTGTTGTCCAAGCCGTCACCTGTAAATATAGTGAATCAAATTTTGACTTATGCTACCTTTACATACTTCAGCCGAAGCCTGGCTTTGGGTATAAACTGCATGAATATTTAAATGAGGTATAAATTCTTTAACACTGTAATTCACCAGGGATTGAGAGGATGAGGGGAAAGATACATGGGGAGAGGAAGGGTCTCAGGACTGTGTTGGCCCCATTCTGGTTTATCCTGAGGGACAGTGCGGCCATTTCTGCCACTGTAACTCAAACCAAAAAGTGCTTAAAAAATTAAAATTGCAAGCATCCAGCTTGCAAAGGTGGAAACAGTGGCTTTTCTTCACACTAGGTCACTTCCCAAAAATTCATCCCAATCAGCTACTTTGGCTGAGATGGCAATTAGGAAAGTATCACTGGTGTCCCATCCCCATGACACACGTGAAGCTGGATGTCCCTTCCCGCTCTGAGATGCAGCTCTCTTGCAACAGCATATTCTCTCCTCAAATTCAGAAATAACTAGAGGATTGGGGCATAACTCATGTAAAATCCTTTATAGATGTTGACTTCTCCTGACTTACTGATGGGAGGTTTGTAGCTAACTGGCCTCCTCTCTTCCCAGCCCCAACAAAAATAAATTCATAGTGGGATAAGGAGGCACAAATTTGACATACACCATAGGAATTAACATCCTGTTTTGTGTCAGTGTGCCATATCCGTAATAGGTGTCTGCTCCTGTTAAACAACTGATCCAGAATGAATTTCCTTAATGCAGAGAAGGTCTCAGGCAGTTTTCATCACATTAACAACATATCTATGGGAGGACATAACTGCATAGCAGCCAACTTGGGTCTGGGCTGATGGGCAGTCAAAGGAATACAAAAGTTGCAGTGCCCAGCCAGTTTGCATGCAGTTTTTGAAAGAAAAAAAAAAAAAGAAAGCAGTTTATAAACAAGTCCAAAAACTAAATAAGTCTTTGCATTCTCTGCATGTGGATTGAACAGTATCTCCTGGCTTCCAAGGACAATATATGTGTAGAAACATGGAGCTGTGACGTTATTATGCAAGTGCTTTTTACACCCCCAGGCAAGAATTATCAAGAAAGTCATCTGAATTGGGCTGAATCAAAACTATCTCTGTTAGGAATAAATTTTTTTATTTTTTTTTAAAGGATGTAGACTGTCAAAATTATGATTTGTTAAACAGCTTTCAGCACAGACAAAAAAATAAAGTTATCATTAGTGTTATATTTTTAGTACCTTACTGACCATGGCAAATTCATAATCGCCCTTATGACTTGGCCTGTGTCTTAAATGAAACAGTAATCTTGGGTAGTTATAGAAACAAATAAGATTTTTTATGAAGAAATCAGATATCTGACAAACTCTTTGAAAGCCCAGTATGTAAAAAAAGGCTTTTATACAGGGAAGCAATTCACCATATAAAATAATAATTCATAAAAGAAACATGAGCAAAGGAAACAACTCAACAGCATTTAAAATTCCACGGGCTAATCCACTTTATGTCTGAGAGAGGCAAACAAGGAAAAGAAAAGTATTATGCATTCATTGCTTAAAAATGAAACGCTTCTAACCTAATGACACTATCTTTCACCACCTCCCTGCAATAGTCCACCCGCCCTCTCCCCCCTACCCCATTTTTTTAAAAATACTTTCCTCATTTCAAACCTCCTTCAGATTAATTTAGCAGGCATCGCCATGTGCCTGACGGGAGGAGGACTCATTGATAATTTATGGAAATATCTACTATAATCCAAGTGAGATGACTTTTTTCCAGCTTTGTGCATCAATAGATAATCAAGGCCTTCAAGCAGCCTTAGCTTCCCATTACCTCGGGCAAGAGAATTCCTGAAAGCATGCCTCCGGGGCACCTGAATTATATCCTCCATTAGGGGAGGAAAAGCTTTCTGCATTCCACCTATAACGCTCCCCAGAACCTTTCCTGTTTATTTCTGCTGTATGAAAGCAGAAACATTAGGAACAGGATTTTTTAAGTGAAGACTTATGTAGATACAATGGAGAAACCTTTCAAGCGCGAGCCAGATCACCTCCTTCAATCCCTGGCGGTGACCTATCGCAAATAAAAGGTTTCTGTTACATCATTAGCTCAAGCCAAAAACAGCCTTGGCTTAATGCACAGTTTGTTCTTCCTACTGTTTTTAGGCAAATACTGCTACTTTACTCCCATCTGGGAGGGAAATTACACTGCTGAGCTGTAATCTAAGACAAGATTTTCATTGGAAGCAAATGCTTTCAATCCAGTGTAAATACTGGTGCATGTTCAGAAAAGCCTAAAACAATAAACCCTGGCCCTGTCCAACACAAGTTAGAGAAAGTGAAAGGCAGGGAGAGGATAAGAAAGCACCTAGCTATCCTAAGAACAAATGCTTTGCTAGACTTCTATAAATTGTTTAACCTCTTCCACTTCTTTTAAATGGAAAATTGATCCCATAAAGACTGAAACCACAGAGAGAAGTCTAAATGGTCAATTGTTGATTTTAGTATTTCCATCTACTTTGCAATTTGATACACTCACCTCTGTGAGGTCTCCAGAGACTCCCCCCTTCCCTTTTATTCCCCCCTCTTTTCCTCTTTTTAAAGATCACTAAACAAACTTGAAGCACCATTGACCAGCCACACGGTAGCAGCTATGAACCGCATTTGTAAAATGTCAGTGGCGACTCCATTCCTGAAGTTGACTTCTCCTGCCGCCAAATGAAGGCGAACTGAAAAGGTGGAAATAATCATAGAAATGATGCTAGTCCATAAACAAGCTTACAGCCTCATTAGTATAGCGGGAGGCTCCACTGGGTGATTTATGCTTGTTTTGCTGATGCCATGAGGAAACGCCATAGGGCAACTTTAGCCAGCTGCTAATGGTTTCTGACAGCTTCTTAGCAACTAGTGCAAGCAACGCTGTGGCGTTTGCTAGTGACAGAAACTGAAAATGTCATATTATCTGCCCATGTGTCACGAAGTCCGTGTGGCAATTAACTAGTAGGCCTGTGACTGAGGGGCCAGAGGCTCTTCAAAATGGCCCATGGCTATCTGGGGGGCAGAGCAGGCACACCGCTCGCATTTACGCTGCACATATGTACGGCCCTATGCACTATCTGCATCACACTCCCTCTGCCTCAGTCGCCGATGAGTTTGGTCCACACATCTTTTTTCCATGGAGAAACTCTGGCTCGCTTTCTCTTTAGGCACGGCATGACATTATCAGAGGAACTGCAAGTAATCTGTCTTGATATGATGGTTGGAAATAGCACTTTAATTGGCAATACCTGATTCTCTGGTTTTGAGCGCTGGATCCGAAGGTGCTAGCTATTTTTCTGCTCGCTCGCAAATTACTCTAAAAGGATTTAAGATCACTGAAGCAGACTCGTTGCCTGTCAAATTGCTGGAAGCGCAGTGACTGCACAGCAACTAGATGCTATTTAAAAAAAAACGAGAGCCTGTAAGCAGCAGGAGGAGAGCCCGGGCTCTGCACGCCCATTCCCCAGCGAGCAAAACCAGGCACTATATGTCAAACCACCAAACCTTTCAGTATGGCCGTTTGCCCTTTCACATAATATTTAAGAATTGTTTTTACACAATTTTTTATAGGCCATGGTCTAGTGAAAGAGGCCAACCAACAAAGAAAGGAATTTGTACTACAATTCGTCCGTGGACGATTTCTTGCCAGACCTGGGCTGGTCCCCATGGAGCGAGGCAGGTGACCTGTGGCAGCTCCCCAGCTGTTGGGGAGCTCCAATTTCAAACACCCTCAACTCCAGCATCCCAGAGTTGCCTATTTAAGCACACCCAGGCATTTAGGCCATGCTATCTTGTTCCTTTCAAGAAAGGATAAAGCACCATTTACCGTATTCAGCCCCACTGAATGGGTCAGGCCGGCCATGCCAGCAGGGGCTCCTCTCACTGCATTCCCCTCCTCACTGCCAACGCCTCCTACAACTTCCCTTCCCCTCCCAACTCCCCCCAAAATTGGAGGCAGATGCAGCAAAGGGCAACTGGGTTTACAGTGGCTCCTTGAGTGGGTAATGCTCTCTTTGTCCTGGGTGATCTGTTATAAGTCTCTGTTGGCAAAATAGGCGTTTCTGGAGAGCAACCTGGCACATGTGCTCGCCTTCAGTGGCAGTGGCCATTGCAGGAATTAGGTGGCAATTCAGAGCCTCCTCCCTCGCTTCCACACCGAACTGAAACAAAATGTCATTGCTCTGCAATGCTGGAAACACACAGGCACCTTTCAGTCACACATCTCCTAAATTCATCCTCAGAACTTTAACACAGAAGTTGCTCGGGTACGACATGAATAGTCCCAATCCCAAGTCTTGGACATTTCAGAAAGTTTGGAAATTCTGATGTCCTAAAAATCCCAGCCATTCACTTGGTTAGAAAATCCATGCCTAGACTAACATCCCTGAATGAAGTGACTAGAAATCTCAATAGCAGAGTGTCAAATACAGTTCTACTACAAGTAAAACTTCACTAGACGCAACAGGTTATTTCTCATTGCATGTAGCCCTGTAGTAGGATCAAATCTGTATTTGGAGCACAAGAATTTTTGTATCAAAGCAAAACTAAAAAGTCTGCTTCCTACACCTCTGTCATGAGATCTCTGGGAGGTTTTGGGGTCCACTGTTCAGTTTGCTGGGAGGGGTCAAAAGGAAGGCATCAGTCTCACTGAGGTCAACCAAACCACATGATGAACATCACCTTCCATCTTTTACAGTCTACTTACAGATAAGCATCTAAATCCACCGCTTTAAGGAGCTCACTGAAGAACATGTGAAATAAATGTACCCAGAAGCCTCAGGAAAGACCCAGAGCAACTTTTAGGTGCACCTGGGACTGGACAGTTCCATTAACAGGGGAGTAAATCAGTGTTGTCTAAAAGACTCAGTGCTCCCTAACTTATTTTTATATTTCCAAATCTCTCCTGTTAGAAGTAGCTTCTGCCTCCTGGAAGAACTTCATGGTCTGCACTTACTTTCAGATTTAATAAGCTAA